CTGTGTGTGTAGACGACCGCCTCGAACACACGAGGAGAGAGCGAGAGCGAGAGGGACGTGCCGCGCTGCCTCTCTCAGGGGTTCTTCGGCGCCAGTTTTGCATTTCCGGGCTTTTCAGCCAATCAGACGGGACCTAGTCCTGCCCCTGCTTCCGGCCACAGCTCCTCCCCTGCAGCAGCTGCTCCCCCCCCCACACACACAGAGGGGGTTTCCTGCCGTGTGGAGACACCGTTTTAAGTCAGTTTTGTCGGCTGACTCAAAGGACATTTCATGTTCGTGTAAGGAAATACCTGGTCCTTCACACATGGCCAGTCCTGAAAAAGTTCCAGACCGCTTCTAGAGCTAGTGGCAAGGCAGACAGGAGCTGAGGGTAGAGATACAAGAGTCAGGAACACATGGGCCTAGGGATCAAGGGAGATAGAAAGATGGAGTCTTTCTTGGATGCTGGCCATGGATGAAAGAGAGCTTGACTTCCATTATCATAGAATCATAGAATCTTAGGGGTTGGAAGGGACCTCAAAAGATCATCTAGTCCAACCCCCCTGCCAGAGCAGGGCCACCTAGAGTACATCACACAGGAAGGCATCCAGGTGGGTTTTGAATGTCTCCAGTGAAGGAGACTCCACAACCTCCCTGGGCAGCCTGTTCCAGTGCTCTGTCACTCTCACAGTAAAAAATTTTTTTCAGATATTCACCTTGAACCTCCTATGCTCCAATTTACACCCATTACCCCTTGTCCTATTAACTCTCATCTTATACCGAATATGACATGTATGGCATGGAATACTCCATTTAGCCAATTTTGGTCACCTGTCCAGTCTGCTCCCCCCTACAGGAGGGTTGTAGATACGACTATTCTGCTCCTTTAGTGTCCAAAGCAGCAGATTCAACAAGTGGAGCAAAGTGTCCTTGGTCTCTCAGCAGTAACTATAAACATTGGGGTGTTTATCAGTCCACTAGCTGGAAAATTTGCTGTTAATTTCAGCAAGTGTGCTGCTTGAAAGAGAGTTCACTGAAGAAGAAAAAAAAATCAGTAGAAAGAAAATTGGTGTTAATGAGGAAACTCATCCTCCACACACTCTAAATCTAGGACACTGTTATGGTTTGGGAGACCCCAGCATGATGTTGGATACCTATAGGGAGGGTCCTTAGGACCATGAAAGACTGGAAGGGGTCAGTATTCCTGTCCATTTCCTGTCACAATCTATAAAAGCTAGGAGAGCCAGAAGCTGGTTACTTCTCCCTTCCTGCTCCTTTCTCCCTGCTGAGGCTGCTGCTGGTTCCTTTGGCTTCCCACGTGCTTGCTCCAGAATCCAACTGCATCGGGTGCTGTGAGGAGCTGTGGACCTCTCCCCTGGAGCTGCCCTGCCTTTCCCATATCCCTGCGATCATTGAGATAGGTTATATAAGATACTTATCTGTTCTTCCTCCACGTTTTACCCTTTTCCCTTGTGTTGTAGTAAATTTGTTTCTAGTTTCAATTTCCAAAGTTTAAGTCTCTCTTCCTTATTCCCCTTCTATCTTCCCTTGGGAGGGTGGAGGGGGGTGATAATAGGGAGCAATTCTGTTCTCTGTCTTTTTTTGGATTCACCTTTAATATTTAAACCAGAATAGACACATACCATTCTGACTGAGGGGACTTAGTTTTCTATCCCCTTTTAATTTATAAGAGTTGAGGTAATATAAAGCACAGAATTATATAATATTGAGCAAGCTGGTAAGTTGGGAGCAGAAGAGAGTGTTTTGGTTTGAAGGGGCACATTTTCCCGAGTCGGCTCTGCCGTTTATATCAGTGACCATTGAAATTAGGTTTTGTATATATTTGTATATTCATTATTATTCTACATGTTACTCTCTCTTCCCTGTTCTAATACACTTGTTCTAGTTTTAACTTCCAACTTTGAAGTTTCTTTTCCTTATTCCCATTCCCCTGGGAGGGTGGGGGGAAGTAATAGAGAGCAATTATGTTCTCTGGGTTTTTTGGTTCTCCCTGGCCACTAAACCGAGACAGAGAGCATCTCACCTTGTTTAAATCTGTCTTGGTAATTTGCTGGTTTTGTGTTCTCTTGTACTTCTCATATTTGCCATTTTGCCATTTGCCTTTTACTGATCCCTCCCAAGTCATGTAAAACCTTACTAAGGAGAGGCTGCTTTCTGTTTGGTTAGGAGACAAAGTAATTTGGCAGAAAAAAAACCCCTTGCATTCTGACTTGTCCTCAGATATCAGAGGGGCTGGGGGCAGATGGGCTTAGATTCTGAGTGATGCCCAATTGAGCGTTAATAGTCTGATTGTACCCAATACGTATGTTGGACTGTCATAATTCCGGATGCACCACTAACTATCTGTCTAGTAGTGTTCTGTGAACTATCATGGCCACACTCAGTCATTTGGTCACGTTCAAGAACTCTCACGGCTAGATTAATGAACAATATAATTTATTAAAGCAACAGATGCACAAGTTTTTGTAGATTGCCAGTGATAAATTCCCTGTCTGCAAAGCATGTGCACATTGATCCATATGGCCGGGTTACACACACTTGTAGCTAAAGTGACTCTGTAGAGATTCCTGAGTTTCCCAGGGATGCACTCGGGATAGCCCAGTGTTCAGATCTTATCCAGAGGTATCCCTATGGGGGGAAGAGAGGCTCAGCCCATCCACTTGTCCCAGGGTCAGGGGAATGTGGTCATCCCTGCAATGGGATCTTCCCTAGCATCCTTCCTCTCTCAAACTATTTTATAGCATTTTACTTTACAGGTGGAGCTGGAGTGACTCTAGTCATACAGACCTTTATCATGAATGGTGCAAAATTCTCTGGGTTCACATTTAATGATATAGACTAGATAAAATTCAGAATGCAAGCTCAGTGACGCTCCCTCCCCCCCCACCCGTCCACACCTTGGGAGGTGGGTAATTTTTGGGATGGAGGTGTGTTTTGGTATTATAATGAGATTATAATGAGCAAAGTGCACCTAAAGGACAGTATTTTGTCAAAAGGTGAAAGGTTGTTGGCCCAGGGTATCAGACATGCAGCTGATTTGTTCCACAGTACCTTTGAATCCCCTTGTTGCCACAGTGTGGCTGCGGTGTCTCCACTCTGCTCCACCCTCCATGCGATTTCTCTTAGAGTTAGCATACTAAGTTTCCCTGATGTTGCCAACATCTAGGGTTGTCTAGGGAATTGCCATGGTACAAATTCCTTGTACATTAGCTGCATTCCACAGTGCTTCAGTGCTGTACCTTTCCTTAAAATGTGAACATAAGTTTAATTTCTAAGACACCTCTAGCAATTATTCTGTACTTCCTCTTAAGCTTTGCAGGATCATCCAGTTTTTGGTATTTCTTAAAGTGGTTTAAGAACATTTGGCGCCGTGTCCATCAGTGAAATAGTGCATTCTGAACTATATAGACTTGGTTCTTCAGTTGTCAATGCAGTAATTTTTTTTCTTTCATGAAGTGTCTCTAAAGCTCTAAGAGTGTTTTAGTGTGTAATGCAGTTACAGAGGCTATGGTAGGTGAAACCATGTGGTAGTTACTGGAAGAAACAGTTTTCTGTCATACAAATAACATGGTGTAACTCAAATGTAGTTTTGTACTTCTAATCCATGATGTCTGCACTTCACCTAAGTTGGCTTAGGGTCATATAGTCTTCTATAATGGAGATGAAGTTGAAAAGTGATTTCAGCCTTCTTTCTCACCTATATCATTAAAAAAAATGAGAGTGTAACCATTCTCTTAGTACTTATTCTCTCAAAGGAGACACTGAAACATTGAGTTTATACTTGTAAACTGCTTTGTTACCTGCTTTCTCAATAGCATTAGTTTTCTCAATTCTAGGCAGCTTGGACTAGCTTGTCATTGCCTACCTTGTGAGGGCTACTGAGTTGCTGTTGTGTGAATGAAGAAACAATAGGACAGGACCTAAAAGTACCAATAGCTAACCTTTTTTGTTTGATGCAGGTGCCTGTCAGAGGCCATGATTTTATGTAATGCTTCACAGATGATGGCACCTTATTTACAAATTCAAATTTCACACTAGACCATAAGCTCCTATAAATAGGGACATATGTATAAACTTATCTGCCATCTTAATGGTTTGCAAATAATACCTTTCTTCTTTGCTTTGCAGCTATGGCTTGATAGACTAACCATGCAATTGCATAATATGAGTTGCTGTGCTATTCTTAGCAACTGTTTTAGTAATTTTATTTTCAACTCCTATGGAGCTGTTACAATCCCTGAATTTATTTTAAAGCTGGATTTTAATATTAAAGCTGAAACCTGATGCTTGGACCTTGGTCCCTTGTTTTGTTTAGACATAGTTTTTCCTGTATTTTGCTATGTGTGATGAGCAGTAGCTGCCAAGAGTGGGGGTCTGGCTTATTATGGCCCCAGTTTTCCCAAGTTGTTGTTCTGCCATTTTGTCTCTTTGTTCCTGAATAATGCCTGGATAATGTTTTTTCATTTTTTCTCCCTCCCCCTTAGGCCACGTACCTATTCTCAGCAGTCTCTTGTTCATTGATGCTTATAAGCATTTTTTCATTTTCTTGGGAGAAAAAGACAGGTCTGTGCATGCTTCCTTGCTAGATTTATGGAGGTAGTTGAGAGGGAAACTTTTGCTTGCTTTACAGATTTTCTGTGTTGTGATCATATCTAGGCTTCCTTGAACTGGTAAAAGTCTATTATAACCAGAGATATTTGGGATTCTCACATTCCCCAAGAAAATCCAACTTGTAAAACTTGTTTCTTTCTCATGTCTTCACAAAAATACAGCCTGTGTTTCCATTTATATTAGTGTAACTTGCAAGGTATTACCTATGTGATGTTTTGCAAATACCTTTTTTTTTTTCTTTTTTTTTTCTGTGAACTAGAGGGGCCTGAGGTGGAAGCATGCATTGAGAGCTCTCTCTTCCTTTTTGACTTTTGTATCTAATTCTATTCTACCCAAATAGACTTCTTGGGAGACTGTAGGGGGAAAGAAGAAAAGCCTTGGAAAGGAAAGTTCAGAAAACAAAGGGGACAGAGAAGTGAGTCGTGGACGTGGAAGTTCCAACAGACGAGGAAGAGGAGGCAGCCGTGGCCGAGAGTGTATGTATAGGGGTTAATTTTTAAAGATTCAGACACTTTTCTTGCAGCTGAAACTGCCTGCGTTGAGAGCAAATGTTTAATGGAGTAAAGTCTGTCCAAGCTATAGCTCAGCTCTGAAGGGGGATCATAACTTGTTTGGTTGACAGGTATGCTTGATCTGTCTACAGGATTTGGTTTTGGGATAGTCTGTGTTTGTTCAGAAACACTCCATTTAATTTAAATTTGTCATTTTTTGATTAATTGATCTTGTAAAAATTGCTGGTTTTTATGTAAGTTTTAGAATTGAGTCTTTGTAAGACTGCTTGAGAGCAAGTATGTCACTACAAAAGCAAACTGATGTTTCCAAGTTTGGTAGCATCACATTAGATCACCATTGGCTACACGTTGCTTTTTTCCTCTAAGTTTTATCAGCAGTATCAAAGCTTCCATTACCCATAAGGGCCATACACAACACTGATCGATGAGCAGAGAAACCAGAATAAAAAAAAAGTTTAGCTTTTCACTTAAAAGCAGGAAAAATGCTTCCAATATTAGCCAAATCTTCTAATTCATTATTGGAATATATTAAAATATTGTGCCAGTGAAGGCATTGTGAATCTTTGTAGAATAGACTTATGTCAAGATAGGAAAAAATATTAATAAAACATGCAGCTATGCTTAGAACAAATTGAAAATGGATCCATCAAAATTAAACTGAGGGGCAAAATTTTTGCCAGAGCCAGATACTGCTTGTCTCTTTTAGTAAACTGGAATTAAAGATTTTTCAGATGGTTAAAAAATCTTCCCAGCTTCCCAGTCTAAGCATTAATGGTTTGTTTGAACAGTTGTGCAGTACAAAATCTCAGAAGCATTTTAAGTGGCCAGTCTTTTTTTTTTTTTTTTTTTTCTTCGAGGAGCTATCCATCTTTCTGAGTACCTCCTCAGGAGTTGCAGTGCTTTTCTAATGCCTCACCTTCACCCAGTGTCACGATCTGGGTAGGGTAACCCAGGGAGATTCAGATTGGACCCCCTTGCTTTCTAAACTCCTTCTCAGAGAGGACCCCAGGTGTGGCTAGATACAACCTTTGTCTCAGACCTGGCCCTTCCAGGGAGAGTGATTCAAATGTCACGGTCTGAGGAAATGCTCTACCATCCAATACCCCTTGATCAGATTAAGGTGAAACGACACTCAAGGTCTGTATTTGAATAGTAGGTTTAATTAAAACTATAGAAGGAACATGGATACTTCAATTATTATCTTAGGCTGCACAATCATAAAGCCTGACATTTAGATCACAAGAGTACAATACATTTGTTTAAGCTGCACAACCTGAGAAAAAAAAATTGTGGTTAGGCCTTGTGCTACTTAATGATGTTAGGGAGGAAGAGAGAGAGAGAGAGAGTAGGAGAAGGAAAGTTTAGAGAAATAGATAATAGAAAATCACCAGTCAACCGGCCAGCCAATAGGGGAAGAGTTGGTGTCAGTGAGGCTCCCAAAGCCCACCATTGCAGCCCGTTTTATAGGCCTAGTTTCCTTGTTTCGCAAGGATGAACAAGCATGTTTGAGGCATAAGACTGAGCAGCTGGAGTGGACCTGCCCCCTCTGTCCCTCCATCCTTATCTCAATTGCTGTGCATACAGGCCAGGCCATATGCAGCCATCAGCATTGTCTCCATCCTCTCAGGCAGGCCTTTTGGGATGCAAACGAGACTTTGTTTAGGGGTTACAATGGGGTTTCAACACCAATTCCATCAAGTATAGGTCCTGAGGGCTGGTCCCTCACATCCAGTTGTCATCCCTCTTATTTAAATACAGATGAGAGGTCTTTTTAAGCTTTTCTGGCTGTAGGGAATGTGGTATGGGCAGACTGGAGAAGAATTTGTGTTCTTGGTTATTCCTTATTCTTTCACTGTTGCCACCCAGTGTTATCAAGGAAGCACAGTATGAGGCAGCTTTATTTTCTACCTTGTTAAAGAGGTGGGGCCATAATTAATTGAATACTGTAGGCTGCAAAACACTGCACTCTTTTAGTTTTGTGTTTTTTCAAAAAACAGAAGTGTGTCTGCTGAGGGACATTTCCCTCTAGATATTTTGCTTTCTAATTCTCCAGTGCAAAATAAACATCCTTGTAATGAAGCCCCCAAAGAAAAGGGGTGACTGAGATCTGTTGACCAGCTCACTTTAAAATCTTGCCCTTTATTTTGGGGTTCATGTTTGGCTACATTGTCTCATGTATGAGTCTCTAAAGCTTATTTTAAGCTCTCTTCTCTCCACAGTTAAAGTCGAAGAGAATGGAGTGGACAACAATCAAGGAGACAAGCCTTCAGACCGTGGGAAACGTGGACGTGGGAGAGGTGAGATGGTGGCATTGGTGTGGGACTGGCACCAATTTAATGTCCTGAAATGGAACTCTCCAATGTATTTCTTGAAATGCTTCTTTTTACGCATTTGTTGGTTATCCTTTGATTCCATAAGCACTTCAGCCACCTTTAATTTAGGTACATCCCCCTCCCTTACCCCTTGTCATGTCTTGGTCTCAGAAAAACTTAAAAGAATTGACACAAATCACCATACAAATGTATGGTAATTTCCTGTGTAGCTGGCTGATGTGTTACCAGCCTCCTGTGAGAGGGAGTGCACTGGGCTCCTCGGATGTACCTTGGCAGCAGGAGAGTACAAGATTCCATCTGTAGGGCTCTCAAGGAGGAATTTCATGTGTACTTGTGCTGTTTCTTTGTGGTAGGTGGATCTAGTTGTCAGGCTTGCCTTCTGTTTTTGGTACCCAATCAGAGAAAGTACAAGACACCTTAGAGGCTTTTTGGTAAGAGAAAAAATTTGGCATGGAAGAGTTGATGAGAACTGTGGAAAAAGAATACTGTGGAGTCTTGGGTATAATTCTGATCCTGTCCTGTAGAAGAGATAGGAAAGATGTTGATAACAGATTTGATGTGGAATCAAGGGATGTGTAGTTGGTTTGGATTTTCATGAGTTGGAGTGGAAAGAGGCTTATTTTTTCTTAAAGAAGGAGGAATGAGAATGAGTAACCTTGATACAACGCAGATTATGAGGGTAACTGGGTATTAAATGAGTTAAATTGATGAAGTGCACAACAGAGCTAATGTACTTAATAAGTAATTCTGTCTTCAAAGGATTCTCTTCTCTTTGGAATATTCAGCAAGAGGTATTCAAAGACGGGCACATCCACATTAATTTTCTCTAGATTTACATCTTGAAGGAGTGGAAAGATGAAATACATGTAGCTTCCAGAGGGTTTCAAGAATAACTTGGTTGTGTCTGTGAATCAGCAAATACTAAAGGGTGTGTGCAAAGAGGTAGATTTGCAGAGGAAGGTGTGGTATAGTTCACAGCTACAGTTTTTTGTATGTTAACACTTAATAGATGGAATGTAAGTAAGTTGTTTTATAATTTTAGTATAAAGGATGATTTTATAAATATAAAAGTAGGGGGTTTTTTATATTGCTGTGTGAAACTTTGAGGTTAATTTCAAATGCAGCCCATTTTTTGTTTTGTAACCATATGACACTGCTTTTGTTGTCAAAACTGTAGCTCTCTAGATGAATATCATATATCTCAAGCAATGCACTAAACCATCATATCAAACTGACATCTGAAGAAATAGGAACAATTTCAACCAATTTCTGTTCACTGGCTTAGTGTACATAGTATTACTGCATATTTCTATTAAATATTTTAGACTGTACATTCATGTGAGCAAAGTATCTTAATGAAGTGTTCTCAACTGTGATAAATTTGTTGAATGGCTTCAGAGTCATTATATTACAAGTGTGTTTATTCTGTGGCAGGAAATACCTAATTTAATTTTATAATGCAAGCTGTTGAAATCTGCAGGGAGTTGTATAAAGCTGTGTAATTCACTTCTCAGTGGTTCTGGGATGCATGACCTGCTTTCTTTGGATATTACTAGAAATAGAAAAAGCTTCCTATCATTTCATTCAGTAGTCTATCTTTTCTGTTACACAGAAGAGTCAAATATGGCTGTTTTCTAGGGGAAGATTCACTAGGCCATTGTATTATTGTTTCTCTGTAGAATAACCTAATTTTAAGAAATTATACGCACTATATTAAGAAATTACAGCAGAAATGGGATTGACACTGTGATAATGTCACAGTTTAACTCAGGATCAGCAATTAAAAGAATTACAACAAGGCTCTCACCCTCCCAGGTAGTGAAAGAAGAAAGAGAATAAGGAGAGAGGCTTCTGGATTGAAACTGAACTAGACAGCTTTAATTAAATACTAATGATAAAAGAATCCCAGGCAATGAGGCAGCATCAATGGGGGCCCAACTTATGCTTCTATGCAAATGCACACAGCATAGGAAATAAGCGGGAGGAGCTGCAAATGTGTACAAACCTGCAGGGCTATGATCTTATTGGCATCACTGAGACGTGGTGGGACAACTCCTGTGACTGGAGCATGGGAATGGATCAGTATAAGCTCTTTAGGAAGGACAGGCAGAGGAGAAGAGGAGGAAGTGTTTTCCTCTACATCAATGACCAGCTGGAGTCCATGGAGCTTCGCCTGGGGATGGATGAGAAGCTGACAGAGAGCTTATGGGTCAGGGTTAAAGGGAGGACAGGGGGTGGTGATATTACAGTGGGAGTCTGCTTTAGGCCACCTGACCAGGATGACCAAGCAGATGAGGCTGATAAGTGCAGCTTCCCATTCACAGACCGTGATCCTCATGGAGAATTTCAACCACCCTGACATCTGCTGGAGGGACAACACAGCAAGGCACCAGGAATCCAGAATGTTCCTGGAATGCATTGATGACAACTTCATTTTCCAAGTGATAGAGGAGCCAACTAGAAAAGGTGCTATGCTGGACCTTGTTCTCAGCAACAAGGACAGGCTGATGGACAACATGAAGCTTAAGGGCAGCCTTGGCTGCAGTGACCATGAAATGGTGGAATTCAGGATCTGTAGGGCAACAAAGAGCGTGCACAGCAAGCTCACTACCCTGGACTTCAGGAGAGAAGATTTCAACCACTTCAGGGATCTGCTTGGTAGGATCTCATGGCATAAAATCCCAGAGGGGAGAGGAGCCCAAGAAGGTTGGTCAATATTTGAAGATTACCTCCTCCAAGCCCAGGAGTAATGCATCCCAACAAAGAGGAAGGCAGGCAAGAATGTCAGGAGGCCTGCATGGATGAACAAAGAGATCCTGGACACTCTTACACAAAAAAAAGTCTTCAGCGGGTAGAAGCAGGGACACGTAGCCTGGGACAAATAGAAAGTTGAGCAGCCAGGGATCAGGTTAGGAAAGCTAAAGCCCAGATAAAGTTAAACCTGGCCAGGGGCATCAAGGGTAAGAAGAAGGGTTTCTACAGGTACATCAGTGATAAGAGGAAGAACAGGGAAAATGTGAGCCTTCTGCAGAAGGAAACAGGAGACCTCATCACACAAGATATGGAGAAGGCTGAGGTACTGAACGACTTTTTTGCCTCAGTCTTCACTGGTAAGGGCTCTGACCACACTGTCCAGGTCACAGAAGACAGAGGTAGAGACTGGGAAAAGGAAGATCTCCCCACTGTAGGAGAAGAGCAGCTTCAAGACCATCTAAAGAACCTGAAAGTGCACAAGTCCATGGGACCTGACAAGATCCATCCGCAGCTCCTAAGGGAACTGGCAGATGAAGTTGCAATGCTGCTTTCCATTATATTTGAGTAGTCATGGCAGTCTGGTGAAGTTCCTCCTGACTGGAAAAGAGGAAACATAACTCCCATTTTCAAGAAGGGAAGGAATGAAGACCCGGGGAATTACAGGCTAGTCAGTCTCACCTCTGTGCCTGGCAAGATCATGGAGCAGATCCTCTGGAAGGCTCTGCTAAGGTACAGAGAAAATAAAGGGGTGATTCATGACAGCCAACACAGCTTCACCAAGAGCAAATCCTGCCTGACTAATATGGAGTCAAACTGTGACAGTGGCCTTCTACAATGAGGTCATGGCATCGGTGGACAAAGGAACTGATGTCATCTACCTGGACGTGTGCACAGCCTTCGACACTGTCGTGCATGACATCCTGGTATCAAAACTGCAACAGTACAGATTTGATGGATGGACCACTCGGTGGGTAAGGAACTGTCTGGATGGTCACACTCAATAAGTTGTGATCAACAGCTCGATGTCCAGATGGAGACCTGTGATGAGTGGTGTTCCCCAAGGGTGGATACTGGGACTGGTGCTCTTTAACATCTTTGTCAGCAACATGGACAGTGGCATTGAATGCACCCTCAGCAAATTTGCTGACAACACCAAAGTGTGTGGTGTGGTTGACATGCTGGAGGGAAGGGATGCCATCCAGAGGGACCTTGACAGGATTGAGAGGTGGGCTCATGCAAGCTGCATGAAATTCAACAAAGCCAAGTGCAAGGTTCTGCACCTGGGTTGGGGGAATCCCAAGCACAAATACAGGCTGGGTGGAGAAGGATTGAAAACAGTCTGGAGGTCTTGGGAGTGATGGTGGACGAGAAGCTCAACGTGATCCAGCAATGTGTGCTGGCAGCTCAGAAAGCCAACTGTGACCCAGGCTGCATCACCAGCAGGGCCCAGGGAGGTGATTCTTCCCTTCTACTCTGGTGAGATCCCACCTGGAGTACTGTGTCCAGTTCTAGAGCCCCAAGATAAGGATGTGGAGCTCATGGAGAGAGTCCAGAGAAGGGCCACAAAGATGATCTGAGGGCTGGAGCAACTCTCCTACAAGGACAGGCTGAGAGAGTTGGGGCTGTTCAGCCTGGAGAAGAGAAGGCTGTGGGAGGACCTTATAGCAGCCTTCCAGTGCCTGAAGGGGCTTCAGGAAAGCTGGGGAGGGACTTGGGACAAGGGCAGGGAGGGATGGGGTGAGGGGGAATGGATTAAAACTGGAAGAGGGGAGATTGAGGTGAGACATTAGGAGGAAATTCTTTGCTGTGAGGGTGGTGAGACCCTGGCCCAGGTTGCCCAGAGAAGCTGTGGCTGCCCCATCCCTGGCAGTGTTGAAGGGCAGGTTGGATGGGGCTTGGAGCAACCTGGGCTGGTGGGAGGTGTCCCTGCCCATGCAGAGGGGTTGGATCTACATGATCTTTAAGGTCCCTTCCAACTCAAACCATTCTATGATATTATGATAGTGTGGTTGTTTTGGGGGAGGAAACATTGTGAATGAGATTAACAATTTTTTCCACTCTGATACACCATGCATGTTTCCCAAACAGGACAAGATAGTAGATGAGATGTATATGCACAAAACAAGATTTATTGTAAAAAGTCTAAGGGTTTTAAACTAAAAAAGGCATAAATCAGATTATATGAGTGTTAGGATATCAGGGTGGCAAAA